ACCTCCTGGCCCCAGCAGTCGGGGAGGAGCCTGAGGCAGGAAGGGGAAGAACCCTGGGGGGGGCGGGGCAGCTGCAGGGACACAGCTCTCCCCAATCATTTTCCAGAACTTTCCTACACGGGGCAAGGGGGGGGGGCAGGAACAAAAGCCACTCCTACCCCCTATCGCTGGCGTGGGGCTGGGTTCTTTGCCACAGGACCGGCCCCGGACGTTGAGTGTGCTGACGGGCCCTGAATTTCCAGGAGAAGGAGTAAAAAGTTTTTCTAAAAAAGATTGCATTTTCCTTCCGGTGGCAGCCTAGGGACAGTTCCTGATGTTGCTCTCTATGGGATCTGAACATGATAAAGGACAAATACCACCAAAGGGCTCGGCCCCAGCCCTGTTCCTAGTGTCTTCCTGGGGCTCTCCCCGGAAGGGGCTGTGCTCAGTGTCCAGCTGGCTGTCCTGCTCCAGCCTGCTCCCGGGGCAGGAGTCAGGGGAGGGACCTGTGAGCGCCCTCTTCCTCCTGCTGCACGAGGCCCCATTGAGAGAAAGGGGCGCCCAGTGTCCTTGGCCCTGGAGCAGAGGCTGCCTCTGGCTGACCCGCGTGGCTGCGCGTGGCAGCAACTCAGGTTGACATCCGGCATCCATCTGAGGCCAGGCAGGAGGAGAGGGAGGCGGAGAGGAAAAATGACTCCCGCTACAAGAACACGGCGGGCCTCTGCAGCTGCGGGGTCGCGACGCAAAGCCAGGCGAGCCCCTCCCGTGGGCCCCGGGCCTTCTCGGGCCCCAAGTCCTCGAGGGCTCGGCCGGTGCCCCTCATCCACGAGGTCCAGGGTCTACTGCCTAACGGGAGGCTCTGGGTGGCCCCGGCATGGTAAGGTCAAAGGTCACAGTGGGGAGGGGGCAGAGAGAAACACGCAGCCCCAGAGCTCCCAGGAGCGGCGACCTGCCCACAGGCTCACACTCGGATCTCGTCCTCCTCCTCCTCGTCCATGAAGGACAGCTCCTTGTCAGGCTGCCTGGGGAGGGTGACCCGGGCCCTGTCTGGGCCCCTGATGGCCGGGCTGCGCTCCTCCAGGACGCCCGACGTGCAGCTGGAGAGGGAGCTGCTGTCCCTCGTGGTGTGGCTGCCCACGCTGCGGGCCGAGCTTGGGCTGGGGGCAGCCGCTGCCCACCCCTCGTCCTCCAGAGCGTGGGAGGGCAGCGGGGCCAAGTCTGGGCCACCCTTGCCGTCCTGCCTCACCAGGGGAGGGGCCGCCTCGGCCACCGGGGGGCCCTGGGCGCTGCCCCCGAGGCCTTCTTCTTCACGGTAGCCACCCCCGTCCTCCTCTGGGTCCCACTCCTCTTTGTCCATGATGCTGAGGACGTCGCCCAGCATGGAGGGCCCCAGGTCGATGTGGAAGGACAGGATGGACTCGGCGTGCTTCAGCCCGTAGCTGGCCTTGGGCACCACGGGCAGATCTGTCAGGTCCCCGAAGGCCTGCTCGTCCAGCAGGGAGTCAGGGGGGTAGGGAGCCACTGCCCCGTTCCGCCGGGGACCCAGGTCCCCCGCGCCCGCCTCCTCCCCGCTGCCCTCTCCGGCACCCAGCTTCTTCACGGGGCTGGACGACAGGCTCTTGGGCAGCTTGCTGGAGCCCTTCTCCGCGGCATCCTTCTCGTTGAGCTGGGGCAGGGACATGGCGTTCTTGACAAAGAGTGCCGACTCGCGCAGGGAGCCCAGCATGTCTCTCTGCTCCCGGTCCCCCCGGGTCACCGACTGAGACCGCTTGCTGCCCCGGAACTTCCTGGACAGGAGGCTGCGTTTGGAAGATGACGTGGAGGCCTGTTCGTCCAGCGACTCTCCGTCGGGCTCACCTTTCTTGCTGTTGAGGAAGGACGTGTCCCCAAAGGCGTCCCCAGCCCGGCCCACGTGCATGGTGTGACGGAAGTCACCCAGCGGAGCGCTGATCATCTCAGCCGTGAGGTCCAGGCGGGAGCGGCGCTTGGAGTGCATGGAGCTGGACACCAGTTGCTTGAGGATGGGCATCTTGCCGGTGGGAGGGAGGCACACCCTCCGGAGGTCAGGGCTGAAGTCCAAGTCCGGCAGGTGGAGCAGGGGAGGACGCGGAGATCATAGGGCTGAAAGCAGACAGGAGGTAGGGGTTAGCACAGCTGGCCACCAGCACCAAAGCCCATCTGCCACGGGGCTGTCACTTAAAGCCAGCTCCCCTGCAAAATAACTAGACGATGCTCCACAACCCAGCCAGCCATTTCAAAACGCTGCCCGTTTCTCCACCCGCGGTCTCCCGGGGCAGAGGAGCGATTTTGCAAATCTGGTTAGAGTTCAGTAAGCCAGAGACACATTTTTTCCTGAAACCTGAGAAACAAATCATCTGTTAAAGGACAATGCCTCCCCATCTCCGCCCCTCACCAAACCAGGCTGCTACTAGAACAAACAGTGCCGGGGTCAAGGTGCCCAGGGATTCCCAGGAAGGCGGTCTGCAGACATGCTGAAAGTTCTTCCTGCTGTCTACCCCCATCCCTATGAAGTTGGTGGACACCTCAGCTTGAGTCACAGTCCTCAGAGAGAAGGGAGTGGTTAAGACGGGCCCCAGGAGACAGAGACGCTGCTTGGTACCTCCATATGCGTGGGCGGCCCGGCTGTCTTTCTGAATCAGAATTGGGGTGGGGTGTCCAGCACCCACAGAACCAGCTCCCTGGCCTCCTAGTCCTTGCTGGGTACCTATAAATGAAGATCCTGCCCAGGCATCTCCAGCGAGGGGCCTCCGCGGTCTTTGTTCAGGATCATTCAGGGAGCTCAAGATTAGGAGAACCTCTCCTAACCACTTTCTGTAGTTATTAGGGACAGAGGGAGACAAGGACTAGACCCCAAATGATTTAGTCCCGGTAGAACCTGCAGACCCTTGGGTGATGATAACTGGAAATCCCAACAACAGAGGGGGCTCAGGAGAGCCTGGTGTGCCACCCACCCGGCTCACGGCAAGGGCCAAGCTCCAGTTCAGAGTCAAGGCCAAACCAGCCCTCTTCTCCCCAGAGGCACTACCCCTGGGTAGGGTGGGGGAGACAGGTGCAGAGCCCTAACACAGCAAGGTGGGGGAGGCGGCGAGGCCCTGCTGACACAGGGTTCCAGGCCCACCCTTCCACTCTGCACCGCTCAGAACAGGGGGCAGGGCCTGGGTGGTCCCTCCTCCTTCCTGGTCCTGCTGTCCTTCCTTCACTTGGCTAAAACAAAACTGTCCCCCCGGATCTCGCATCCATGTGATCCCCTGGATCCAGGGACCGCCCACCCCTCCAGCTTCTGCACTGAGGGCTGTCCTGTGGCAGCAGCCCGCCCTCTGGGCCCCCACACCCCCAGGCTCAGGCGAGGCTCCCCAGGGCCTAGCCAGGGCCAGTCCTCCGCGCCCCTGCCTGAACTGAGACCTGTCCTCTGAGCTTCCTCAGGGCTCCCGTGGGTCTGTGTCCCGCTTTCTGTCTAGTCCTGGGTGCCACCTATTGGGTCTTCAATTGTCCTTTGAAAGTCAGACACCTCCCTCCCGCCCTCCCAGGACCCCCAGTTTCTCAGCTTCTGTCTTCACTTCAGCCCGTGGCACAGCTCCGGGGCTCCCACCCTGACCTCTGGGCCTTCTGACACCCTCCCCCCACACTCTCATTCCACCTAAGTCCCTGCAGCCCAGTCTGATGGCCTCCCCGACCGGCAGAGTGCCCCTCACCATGCCCTAGATACCGCTCACGCTCCAGCTAGCACCGAGTTCTCAGGGACACGCCGCAGAGCCAGAGAGGGCTCTCCCAGGAGGCCTTGAGGTGACCCCAGGATGGGCCGGCTCTCCCTCCTCCCATCAGACACTCGAGCAAGTTAACATGCCTGAACCCCAACCGGCATCCTCCCTGTCCTCTGGCTCCTTCCCGTCCTGCCTCCGCCTCTAGACAGACATTGAAGAGCCTGATCAGGGCTCAGCTAACACTCTGTTCAGGACCAGAGAGCCAATGTTTTCATCTCTGTAGCTGATATAGTCTTTGCGTCTTAGAGAAAAAACAGCCATAAGCCAGGTGCAGTGGCTCACGTCTGTAATCTGAGTGGCTCAGGAGGCTGAGGCAGGAGGATTGCCAAGTTCAAAGCCGGCCTCAGCAACTTAGTGAGACCCCAAGCAACGGAGTGAGAACCAGTCTCCAGTGCCCCTGGGTTCAATCCCCAGTGTGTGGGGGCAGCATAGCCAACATGCAAACCACCAGACACATGTGTCCCTACAAAATTTTATTTACCAGAATGGTAGTGCTGGTGACATGGAGTGCTGGGACATTAGAGTGTGCCAGGCCCCCAATACCTTGCCCTGGGCACTCTTTCATGACTGTTCCCAGCCTGCATCCTTTATACCAAAGGTAAAAAACCAAAGCAAAACCCACATTTATTTACAAAACCAGGATTTGGCCCATGGGCCATGGCTGACCATCCCATCCACACCACAGGTGAACCCTGGGCCAGTCATGGGCCAAACTTTGAGGAAAACCTTTTGGCTCAAAAGAGAAAGGGAAGGTAGGGTCTGCATGGGTCATGCTGGACACGGAAGGAAATATAAGCAGCTTCAATGCGACCCCTGTGGATCCTTTCGGCTTCTGAAACCAGGGCTTCCACCTGCCAGCTCCCAGTCCTGCTACAGAATGCTGGCGTCTCTAATCGCTGGAAGGGACACCCAGGGCAGCTCTTTCATCCATGCGTGAGAGAACAGTTCACTGAAGCCGGGTGAGTCATCTGGGTTTACGCCCCAGGCTGAGGCCCCAGCTCCTGTGCTCCTCTGCCCACCCCAGGCCATTCTCAGTGACGGCCACCAATCGAATGCTCCCCCCAGGGCCCGCCAGGGGACCCAGAGAAGGGAGGAGCGGGCTGCTGCCTCGGGGAAAGTTCTTGCATAATCCCAGAGCTAGCTCCAACACTGTCCAGGCTTTGGAGTGGACAGTTTTTGTTTGGGTTTGGGGCAGTTCTCTGCAGGCTGGGACGCTCCCAGGAATAATGGCCTCTGCCCACCAGATGCCAACAGCATCCACTCCCCCTGCCTTGACAACCCAGTCTTCAGACCTAGCCCTGTGTCCCTGAGGGGTCAGAACTGCTCCTGAGAAATGTCACTGCACGGTGGCCCAGGCCTATAGTTCCAGAAAGGGGGGAGACCGAGGCAGGCAGATCCTAAGTCAGCCTGGGCAACTCAAGGAGACCCTGTCTCAAAATTAAAAAAAAAAAAGTTAAAAAGGGCCAGGATGCAGCTCAGTGGTTAAGTGCTCCTGAGTTCAATCCCAGTACGAAAAAAAAAAAAAAAGGAAAAGAAAACAGATGGCTATTGATATTATTTACGAGGTAAACAACGGAAGGGGCAGGAGGGGGTGTCAGGGTCAGAATGGGGTGGGAGTCCGTGCTGTGAACTCCAGGGTTGCGACAGGGTTTCACTGTGACAGCAAAAATTCCCAGGCCCGGGGGACCGGCAAGCACTGTGGTTTCCCATCTGAAGTGAGCAATGCAGAGAGTACCCCTGGTGACCTCTGTGGCCACCCGGAGGGAGCAAGTAGGGCTACAGGGCAGGGTCACAGGGGAACGGTGTGTGGCCTGCCACATTCATGCCCCTCCAACCTGGGCCAGCTATGGAGCCCCAGGATCCCCTTCAGCCCCACACCAGAGACCGAGACGGACGGGTCTGCCCAACATCCCTCCTTCCTGAGGTCCCACTCCTAGGGCATGGGTAGCAGGCCGTGGCCTGTGACAAACCACCCTGGACATCCATCGGGAGGGTCCTGAGACCTGGGGCCTCGATGGAGCCACAGCCTGGGGTCGGGGCTCTGGTGTCCCAGAGCTTCCGCTCCGGGGGACGGGCTAGGCAGCTGGCTTCAGGGCCAGCAGCAGCTCACTAGAGGGCAGTTTCTGGACCTTGGTTTCATTGTCCCGAGTTCCTAACAGAGGCCCTGGGGATGAGGAGATGGCCGGAAGGGTCTGAGAGCCTTTGCTCCAGCGGAGCCTGGGCAGGTCCTGGAGCGGGGCCTTAGGGGCCACCTGGAAGAGGACCGGGCTCAGGAGCTGCGGCTTTGGGAGGGGTGTTGCTGAGCGCTGTGACTCAGCCCCGGGGAAGCGGCTAAAATAGGCTGCCCCGTGACACCCGTGGCCACTCCCCAGAGCCTAGCCCTGTGGGGCGCACTCACTCCACCCTGAAGCCACATCCCACACCCCTGCGGGGTAGGCAGAGCAGAGCGGCCGTCCTGGGTGCTGAGGGCCGATTCCTCCACCCTCTGTGCCCCTGACCACAGAACCTTCCCCAGAGCAGCAGCTCTTCCTGGCTGGGCCTCGCCGGCCACACCCTCTGCTCGGCCCCTGAGACCGTGGGTGGCAACACTGGCCTGGACCTCTGGCCACCCTCCCAGATCAGCCGGCCCAGCAGGCCCTCCTCAGACAGAGGGTACAGGATGAACCCACGCATCCCACTCCAAATGCCCAGGCAGCGACCCGGCCCTGGCACAGCAGCCCGGGGCAGGATCCAGCCCTCAGCTCTCCCAGGACAGGCAGGCCGGCCTCCCACTCTGCCGCTGACCCGCGGCTAACCCAGGCCCCGGAGTTCACATGCTCCGACGCCCACACTGAGGGCAGCCGCTCCTGGGTTTCCAACCATCGGTCCAATACCAGCTCCAAGTGACGTGGCTGGACAGTAGGGCAAAGGGCCTTGGCACGGCCGGACTTCAGTCGTGACGCGCACCACCGGCTGCAAGAGGCTCACATTCCCTCTCCATTCATTCGTCGCCCTACTTATTGCAGGTCTCCAACAGCCACACGTCCACGTGCACGGACTCCGTGCCCAGGGGGGTTCCAATCCACAGACTGAACCAACCACTGGCTGAAAATATTTGGTGGGAAAAAAACTTGTCTGTACTAAACGCGAATGGGCTTCCCACTCCTTGTGGGCTTCCGCTGAGCAACACTGTGTAACGACTACGTGCACGATATGCTGCCGGTGTTAGGTGGCCTAAGTCACCCAGGGCTGGTGGAAGGATCTGGGAGGCCCTGTGCCAAGGACATGGCCAGCTTCTCTGCCAACACTAGGGCACTTTGCAGAAGAGTCTTGAGCATCCTTGGATTTTGTCATCTGAGG